GACACCAGCTCCATCTCTGAGTCCCCTGACTCTGCACTGCTGGCCTCGTGGTCCAAGGGGCTGGGGATGGCGGGCCGCCCGGACCTGGCCTTCACCTCGGGCCTGTCGGCCACGTGGCCCGCCGGCTGCGGGCTCCCGGATGTTTCATAGGATAACCCCTTCGCTTCTTTAATGGCTGTGATCAGCTCATCCTCGGAGATGCTGCCTTTCCCCTGGGATTCTGCAGCAGATGGTTCTGTCGTCCCACAGAGCGAAGGAGAGCGGAAGAGGCGCGCACACACATGGACAGACAGATGGACAGGGAGAAGAAATAAAACAAAGTTTTATTATTGCTTGAGAAACACATAGCTCATTAGCACAAAAATATCTGTTTCCAGGGCTGTGCTGGAAAGACAGGCCACCTGACCTAAAAGGCGAATGACCGCTAAGGCCCAATTAATCAGGGTTTCACACACCTATCTATCTCAACCCGGCTGTTTAAAAAGTGACCCAGCAACTTCCTAGCAACAGCAGCACCTCGGTTGTTTTTCCTGTTTCCACATGACCCAGACTCTAGAAGCCATTGATTTTGATATCTGATTTATTCTCCCGGGGAAGTTTTCCAATGTCACAGATTCCATTAGTTAACTTGGTGGACATAACCCTTTAATTTGACCCACTGATATCAACAGGTCTGAAAACCACCCCGGATTCCTTGTCCACTGTTGTTTGTGTTCCGTTCTTGAAGCAAACAAAGAAAGCTGATTGAGATCCTGGGGTACAACTTGATCTCTGAGCTTTATATTTCCCATAAGAAACAATCATTTACTCCTTTTTTAGTGAAAACTGTAACTAGGTGAAGCCCTATAAGAGAGAGATTTTGCCCATTCCACAGAGCACAATCCCACTGGGCTTCGAAGGGTGGAGCCCACCTCTATTCTTCGCCCTCTTTTCGCCTCCTCACGAGAAGCACAAAACCCGAGAGTGCCCCAGCCCCCTGGTATGAATGCCTGGCTGCTACTTGGTGTCTATCCAGATGGGCCAAAAACCTTGGCAATCTTGCCTTTATCTCTGTCCCTTGGGATCACCATAACAATAGTTTCAGGAACTTGGTTTTCCCTTGCCCTATAGCAGGATTTTCAGAATATCCTAGACCAGTGATGGTGAACCTATGACACACGTGTCAGAGGTGACACGTGAACTCATTTTTTTGGTTGATTTTTCTTTGTTAAATGGCATTTAAATATATAAAATAAATATAAAAAATATGTCTTTATTTTACTATGGTTGCAAACATCAAAAAATTTCTATATGTGACACAGCACCAGAGTTAAGTTAGGGTTTTTAAAAATGCTGACACGCCAAGCTCAAAAAGTTCGCCATCACTGTCCTAGACAGTGGTCTCTGACCCTTCTGGGAGCAAGAACTACTTGGGAATGATGGCTAAGGGGTAATGGATTTGGGGGGGAGGTAATGAAAATGCTCTAAAATTTATTATGGTGATAGATAGACACTTCTGTGAATATACAAAAAGCTATTAAAATGTAAATGGGCACATTGTATGCTATGTGGATTATATCTCAATTAAAAGAAATAAAAAGAGATGGAAGGAGGCTTTTCCCCTGAATTAGCACTTATGGAACTGCCTGACCTATATTAGACTGTACTATAAGTGAGAAGTAACTTTATATATGTTAAGCCACTGATTCGGGAATTTATCTGAATCTAAATGAATGCACCCCGTTAGTCTGGATTCTGCTCTAACTGCTTGCCTGAATTCACTGATCACGTTCAGATCATTTTTGAGTTCTGACCCATTAAGAGGATACTGCAATCCTTGAGGGAGGAATTATGACAACCTAATGAGTTGTGGTGGCCATAGGGATAGAAAAGACACGATAATTCAAGAAACACTGAAGAGAGAAAAACCACGGACTCAGTGTCTGACTCATGTGGTGGGTGAGAAAAAAATGGGGTGTCAGAGGTCACTCAGAAAAGGTGAACCTGGGTGAGTAAAATGAACAGGAATTATATACCCAGAAACACGGAAGTCAGAACAGTGAGCTGTTTTGATGGGACAGAGGGAGAAAATTCTGATCTTAGACCTCTTCCCTTGCTGTGGCTCATACTAGTCCAGTTTCTCCCATTGGAAGCCTCTGTCTGACCATCTAACCTGCAGGCTGACCAAACTCCAGCTTGTTCAACGTTCCTAGGAGACCTCAAAGAAGGGAGGCAGGGCCCTGGGTTACAAATGTCCCTGCAGGGCAGCTCATCCTGGGTGCAAGCCAGCCTGGGAATGGGTCCTTCAGGAAACAGGTTTGTGCTGGCTCATCCTGCACAACCAGAAGCCCCGGGTGGTTTGTATTTGTGTGATGATACGATTAATGTCCGTCTCTTCACCGTCCCCCAATCTCCCTGACCCTAAACTGAAAGCACTCACTGAGGGCAGAGGGCAGCCAAGGTATTTTTGTTCAAAATCAGATCTCCAGCACCTAGTGCAGTGCCTGGCACTCAGAAAGTACTGATGAATAGAGCTCATTTGAGGACTAGCTCAAATCTTTAGAACACTGGTTCTTAATGAGGTGTAAGGCTCAAAACGGCCCTCAGAAATTCTGACTTGTAGAAGGAAGTCTGGGTGGGGTCCACACATCTGCCTTTTGTAACCACTCACTCCAACAGTGATTCCAGTAGTCACCTCCAGTTAGGGTTGGCAGATTTCACAAACAAAAATGCAAGACACCCAGTTAAATTTGAATATTAGCTAAAAATCACTTTTTATTAGTATAAGTGTGTCCCATGAAATTTGAGTTTTTATTTGGCAACCCTACCTACCTCCAATTGAAAACCACGTGTTAGAGCATTCAGAAAAGAAGGCTCAAGGATCTTGCTTCATTTACTCAAGAGGTTTTTTTTTTTTTGATTGTTTAAGGTATTACAAATAGTAATACATATGTCTCCTTTTTTTTCCCATTAACCTCCCCCTGCCCTCCCCCATATGCCCTCATCCCCCTCCAAAAACTCATGCTCCCATCCCCCTGTTGTCCATGTGAGAACCACTGGCTTATAGGCGTGTATACAAGTCCTTCGTTTGATCTCTTACTCAAGAGTAAGGATGTTATTAGACAACTGGGGTGTGGGAGGAAGGGGCCTGATGGGTTTCATCTTGGGCAAGTAAAGGTACTACTTTTAAAAGAATTCATCCTTCTGATGAGTCAAAAGGAACTAAATAGATCGTGTAGACATTGTCCTCCATTCTTTTTTTTTAATATATTTTTTTTGATTAAAGAGAGAGAGAAACATCAATGACCGGAATCGAACCTCGACCTTCTGGTTCACAGGTTGACGCTCAACCACTGAGCCATGCAGGCTGGGCTGCCCTCCATTTTTAATGGGAACTAAAATTTAACAAAGTGCTGGGAGGAACCTGGGAAAATTTTAGGCCAAAAGAGAAGTTTTCCTACTCTCATTTAAAACCTTATGGGAGTTTAGCTAAGATACTGGTTGTTATGTGTCAAGACTAACACAGCAAAGCTGGAAACAGTCAATAAAAATAATAAAATAGAATCTAGAAACTGAGGAGGTTAGAACCACCCTACCTGGGAAGATGTGTTTGCGGCCACTGCTAATAAGGACGATATGATTAAGAAAGATAAAAGGAAACATGAACATGGCCAGTGTACCAAGTTGCAGTTGGCAGTGTCCAACTGTGAATGATGCTGCCATTCTGGTGTCCCCTTTGCTGCTGGCTGACTCTCCCCTCATCACACAGAGGGATCCTCTGAAAACACGAATCCAATCCTGCTACTCTCTTCTTCCTTCTCCCCACTCCAGCGATAGTGACTTTCCAGTGCAACTTGAACACACAGGACATTCCCAGCTGCAGCTTACTGGCTGTCCTTCCTCAGCTCTCTACCTGGTTTGCTCCCTCATCCCATTCAGGTCTCTGCTCAAAGCCACCAGCAAAGCAAAGCCTTTCCTCACCTTACCACCTCCCCATTCCCCTCTTACACTGTATCTTGTTTTATTTTTCTTCATAACCACTGTAACTACCTAATGTTATATTATATATTCATTTACTTGTGTGCAAGTCTTCCCAACTAGAATGCAAGCTCCATGCAGGCAGCAATCTTGTGATTCATCAGAGACCCCCAGTGCTGATGGTACAATACCTGGAGTAAATGGTTAATGTATATTTGTTGAATGAATGATGGTACTTCCCAGCTTAAACCCTCCGATGGCTTCCCATTGCATTTGGAACAACATCCAAATTCCTTATCCTAGTACATGAAGCCTTGAATAATCTAGGCCCCGCCTAGCTTTCCAACTCAGTTCTATTCCATACTTCTTCCTTACTCCTTTACACCATCTTCCACAACTCAGCCTTGAAGCCTGTGCATTTGCTATCCTCTGTGCCTGGGCCCCTCTCTTTGAATTGTGGGGTCCTTCTCCTCATTCAGATCTCAGATCACATGTCGCATTCTCAGAGAGGCCATCCCTGACCCCTCACACCCAACACTCTATCACTCTTTATAGCACTCACACTCCATAAACACTATCTATTTATGTGTTTCTTTTTATTGTCTCCTCTCACTAGCAGGTAAACTCCATGAGCATAGGGACTTCATAAATCTTGTACTGCAATTTGTCTGCTGTTCCGCACATGTCTGACAGAGAAGTCACTCAGTAAGTATTTTTTAAATAAAAGAATGAATTTTGAAAATGTGTAGGAGAATCACAGACCTCATCAATGCAAGGAAATAGCAACAATAATTTTCAAAGAGTTAAAATTAACATTGGCCCTGGCCAGTTTTGCTCAGTGGATAGAGTGTTGCGGCCAGAGGACTGAGGGTCCCAGGTTTAATGCCAGGCAAGGGCATGTGCCTCAATTGCAGGCTCAATCCCCAGCCATGGTCAGGGTGCATGCAGGAGGCACCCGATCGATGTGTCTTTCTCACATAGATGTTTCATGTTTCTTTCTCTCTGTCTCTCCCTCTCCCTTCTACTCTCTCTAAAACTCAATGGAAAAATATCCTTAGGTGAGGATTAACAAAGAAAAGAAAAAAAAATTAAAATTGATTTACCTTTTATTGATCCTTTCTTTTTAAGGGAAGCTGGGTGCTTTAATGATTATCTCTGGATTATTGGCCTTTCTGAGGCTAACACCTCAAAGAAAATCCATGACCACCAAAACAAGCTCTAGGTAAGTGTGTCAGAAACAACATGATGCCCATGGGTCAATGGGCTGGTGCATCAGGGAAATTATGATTATCTAAAATGCCTCACTTGTACTTTTGACTGATATTTGCTGAGAAGAAACTTTCAATATTTAAAAATGTAAGAATTTTTGCCTCTGTACCTCAGTGTATAATTATTTAGCAAGATGAAAACAGTTATGTTGGAGGAAGTTACAAAAGGAAATAGTCTACTGGAATTGAAGAAAATATATTAGACTCCTTGCTTAAGCTTCAGGGTCTGTGACTGAAATTGTTCTAAATTAGAATTTCTCCTGATTCATGATTCACATAATTAGAAATATTCCCCAGAATTGGTGATTTTCTTATTTATTACACAATGATAAACAGAACTTTTTTTATTTAGAATTTCTATGTAGGATCTTATATAATTCTTGGTATTTGCCTTATCTGTTAGCACTGGAAATGGCAGAATGACCCAAGACCCAACAGATGTAATAAAGCCCCAACTGTCCAGTGTCTATGGGTAGAGTGTCATATGATGTCAGGGACTCACAAGTTGAGAAGGGGGTTAGGCTAAACTTTTGGATAAAAAGAATAAGGAGAAAGGTCTCAATGACAAGCTGATTCCTTCTATCTCTTCTATTAATTTTATTCTTACCTGTTGTTTTATGACTCAGGTATTATGATGTAGAGGATGGGTGAAGAGAGGAGCTGAACATGGGAGAGAGCTGTGTAATGGGATAAGGGACTTTCTCTTTCTTGAATAAACCTTGCTTAGGATGTTTATTTGGAGAAACTACAGAGAAAAACATTGCCCTAACCCCATGCCGTCAACTGGGCAACTCAAGATCATAAAACTCTAAGGTCATGTGACATATCTGTTTTCATTTTCTCTTGAAGTTTCTCCAGATTGTTATTAAAAAATGAAAATTCCATAATAATAACTAATGAACCCTGATCAAGTCTTTATCATTAACTTTGTAAACTTCAATTTGTACATAAGGCATGTGCCATGTAAGTGGACTTATATGTGCTGGGGTATTTCACTCTTCCTAAAGACTGGCTGAAGTTCTTCTAGATTGACCACCAAGCAACCCTGGAGCTCTGTAAAAGACAGCTATTAATGTAGCTTCCATCTTCAGAGCATCCATATCTTTATCTCATGGAATAGGATTGTACGATGCATTTCCAGAAAGACTACAAGGAGGCTTTGAGACCCAGCTATGTCCCTATCTCGTGATGTAGGCTGGGACAACTCACATCTAATACACTGGGGGCCTCAGCTACCTTATTTGTCATCACAACCAAATCTTAATTTATATTTTATGGAAAATTCACTATACCCTCATACCTCCTGTCCTTGTACCTTCTCAGATTAGAAGGCTGTCCCTTCCCTTCACCTGTTTATTTCCTCCTGCTCTTTTAAGAGTCACTGCAGGTGCCAGTTCACTGGGACAGCTGTTGAACCCTGCTGCTCCTCAACACTCTGTTTTCCTCTCTCAGAATACAAATCACACCAGAGTCTATTTTCTTGGTCAATTGCCCCACTAGAGGGCAGGAACCGACTTATGTTTGTTATTTAAAATTCTGTCATCAGTACTTAGTAGAGTGACTGACCAAAAGAACATGCGTGCAAAGTGTTTGCTAAGTGAGTGAATAAATTTGAAAATCAGGGACTTGCCGCAGTGGATTTTTAAGACCCCCTGGAACTTTATAGTTGAATGAGTCTGAGGTAAGGTTGGAGAAGGGGAGGAATTGATGCTAAATCTTTAGGGAAATAGGATAGCAGGGGCTTCCATTAAGTCCACTTCATTCTAACGCTTGGACTGACTGCAATATCAGGGTGTCTAGCAATCATTCCTAATCCTGAGGTTTTGGATCCATTTTAAGAATTCAGTGGAAGCTCATTCATCTGAGGTGCTGAAAATCACTTTTAATAAATCACTTTTTAGGTTTGTAAATCACTTTTGGGTAGGGTCAGAATGCCAGCCACTAGAAATA